ATCCAGAGTCCTGTATTTCCGCCAATGTTCGAAATAACATCAACTACAGTAATCGTTGCTTGTTGTGAATAAATTTCTGTTCGTGTTGTTTCATAGGCAACTTCTAAAGAAATAAAACTAGATTGAATATCATTCATCCATGTTGTAGACCAGTTCGTAGGCAATGGAATATTTGATGATTCAACAAATTGTTTAATATCATTCATTAAGAATTCAGGTGGTGCTAAGAGTGATGTTGATTTAATTATAAAATCAGAAAATATACATTCTTGTGTACAATCAGGACAATAAGTAGTCCAAATACTTTTTGTATTCATAATTTCTGTTGCTGCTTCAACATAACATGGATTTTTAAAATCACAAAGTTGAATATGAATTGATTTATTAGTACCAGGAAGTACAACTGCACGAACAGCCCAACGAAAAGGATTTCCACAACCACATTTTTGGTATCTAAAATAAATCCGTTGTATTATAAATTAATTTGATACACTTACGAATATGCTTGTATGCAAGCAAAAAAACATGGAAGTTGTGTATATCCATAATCAGTACCATGATATTCATTAGACATAATTTGCATTCCAAGAGTAATTTTATCATTACATGTCGTATAAGGTGCTGGTAAAAATATACTCGTTTTTTTTTCATATCCTAATTTATGATGTCGTCCAGGTCCAAGATACATTGCTCTCATGTCAATGTTAGGTAACTGCATGTTGTCATGAATTAATACTACCATACCTACACCTATATATATTTATACAATATAAAATATTAAAAATAAGGCTTATTACCATTTGATAAGTAAGGTACATATTGATGTTGATGTGCATAAAGACGTAATTCAAGTAAACCATTGACTCCATTATCAGAATTATATTTTAAACCAGTAATACCAATATTTTTCAATAGAGCATTGAATGTATAACAAAGACCGTAGACTGGTGATAAAAACCAAGTAAAATTAGCTGTTGTACATGTCATTCTATTGTAAACACAAGACATCATCATTGAATCAAGTGAATAAAAAAAATCATTTATAGATTCATTTCGATTTATTTTATAAAGCAGAAAATCATGAATATATGAAGATAATTCCATAGTAAAAGAATTTGTATCATTTGTATTTGTTAAGTTAAGCATATTTGTATAATTTAAAAAAGGAGTAATAAATCGATCATATCGTATTGGAGAATAATTACAAATAGTAACTGCTGGAAAAGCTTGAGGCCATTCAGTAACAAACGATACAGATGTTTGTGTTGGATATTGAAAATATGCATAGATTGATTGAATAATAAAATATGTCATTATAATAGCAAATATCAATAATGATACAATCCAAAATAAACGATTCTGAATACTATGACTACGAGCAATACTTGGTATACCATGTGCTGATGTATTTAAACTGAATTCTTTAAGAATTGAAACACTTCGTTGATGTTTTAATTTGGATTTCAATGCGTTACGATTCATTGGAAAAACAGTTGCTAGATGATCGATCGTTTCCTTGGTCATATTTCAACTGTTATATTCAATGTAGATAATTAAATTCTAGATGAATAGTGTATGTGTTTTTTTATTTATTTCTAATCATCGAACTGAAAATTGTCATGGGAATGAATGCTTTCATTCTTGATTAAATAATAGATATAATGGAAAAAAAAAGAAAGAAAAAGAACGATCATAACAGACGATTGAAATAATTTCTCTTTTAACTGACTCATGTTATTAATGATGATATTAATACAAACTTTGAAGAAGACCTTTGTCACTTACTTAAACTTTTAGTAAACGGTTTGGAGATACAATGTGTAAATGATTTAATCTTTCATTAAGAATGAATGTGAATCAAAAAGGGAGAAGATTAATATCTTATTGAAAATGATACAGTTATTGTATGCAAAATAGTTTATTAATTCATCACAGTCAGACATCGTTTCCATGGCTGTTTGATCTCTAGAATTCCACCGCTTATATTTCTCCAAATCCAATGTTGATTGTTTTCATCAGTACATGGTCTTAACTCGACAGTGTATGTTAGAAACGTCTTAGAATATACACCGAGACACTTTTCGTTGAGAGCAGTGATTTTTCCATCTTGAGGATTCAAACTCCACACTTGATAGAAATTTAAACCAGTCTCACATTCAGTGAGTGAAATAAAGGATGATTGATTCGGATGAGTCGTAAGACATAGTTGTTTATGCACAGGGCGAATCGTATGATCGTCTCGGATGTATTGCCAATATTGAGTATCTGGTAAATTATGTAATTGGCAGAATCGAACGTTGACGTTCAAAGTTTCTCCAAGGCTATTCGAGAACAGGCAGAGTAAAAAAAGTATAAATAATCTCCACATGTTGTCGCACTACACTGAAAGAAATATTCTATTGAAATGGTTTGTTTTTATATGAAGTAGAATGAGTCATATTTCTTATCTGTAAAGCATGTTCTTGTTATTTATTTATTCTCGAACCATCCAAGATAATGCCTATTATTTGAATCGATAGTTTAGTCCAACAGTCTTATTGAAAATCTTTTCATTTTCATGTAATTTTTTTTACGTTTCTCTATACAATTAATGATAATCAATCAAGCGTTACTATATAACGTCATTGCATTTTTTCACATGTTTTCGATATATGATTACATGACGTTATATTGTCGCATACGTTGATGTCACTTCCTTTACAAACATGCTTCGTCGGTTTGGTTTTTTTGGTTTTTTTCCCTTATAATTACACACATTATAGTCTTGTATATATTACATATCGAATATTGATCAGTTGCATGTTTAAGTATCAAATGATAATTTGATATGTGAAACAAAATTTGTTCTTCTACGAATCATGATTATTTTGCTAAGAAAAGCAGGTGAACTAATACATTTAATTGAGCTTTTGTTTATCAATATTTGATTATATATATATAAACTAAAATATTCAATTAATTCAAAGTCAGTATTTTTTTTGTAGATAATTACATTTTTTTAACTTGGTATATTATTTCATACGTACAACATGTCACAACGTCATTATTCAAGCAGTTCAGCACCAACAATGCCGGCGTATACTGGAAGTCAACCAACTGTAACTGGTACTATAAATCGTAAGTTGATTTTACATTAATTCTAACATAGTCTTTAATAGATACTTGATTCCAGTTTTGAGCAAAAATATGTAATTATAATATATTGAAAATTA